ATACCGGCTTGACTAAAGACCGGCCCACCAGGTATTAAAGCCATAAAGCCTTTGAATGAAAACAAATGCTGTTGTGACAATGTCTTGTTGGTATATGTATGATTTCTATACATTTTACGTCAGATAAAAACTTTGGTTGTAAGCTTCAGATAATTATTTAATAACAGCCAGACATTTTAAATGAGAATAAGAAAGTATTTCTTTGTGCCCCTCTTTCCCTGCCCCACCTGGCCCCCCTGGCAGAACTTTGCTAGACCGCCCCTGCACAGTTACCAGCTGTCAGCTGCTTAGAAAAGGATCCTGGGGTTATTTGTCTCTCAGAAACAGTTCATAACTTCCCTCCAACTTATTTATGTCACCTAAAAGGTAAACCTGTTTCTAGTGATGTGACGTTCTGTATCGAGGCTGCGAAGCTTGTGTCGAGAAATTGAGGGGGCGTTTCCGTGATGCGCATATCGAGGCTTGCTTCATTTATGGGAGGAGCTGAAAATGATGATGCTTTGCACTGGGGTGAACCAATTGGATGAAAAGCTTCAGTGCTTCATGAAGCTTCATCTGCCCATCACTACCTGTTTCTCCATCACCTGTTCAGCTCTGATGATTCAGTAAGGACATCTCCTGGTTTCATCTTCATGTTTCCCTCTCACTAGATAACCAAACCGACATAATGACCAGCAGCTTTACAGCTGTGGCTCCAGCAAACATCAGCGGATACTAGAAACTAATATTAAATAAATTCTAACAGCTGATCAAGCTTAAACATGCTGCTGTTGTTTAGCGAGACATCTGGCGCAAAGTGGGCGATAAACAAACAAGAGAGAAAAGCCGATCAGCTGATCATTGATCAGTTTCATGATTAAAGTAGCAACAGGAGAGGGAGAGAATGAGAGGAGAAGAAGAGGCAGCTGTGCAGCAGAATAACTCCACCTCTGTGTCTTTTTCCATCCTAGCTGAAGTCCGGGACAAACTGCGTCCCTTCTCAGCTCAACACGAAACGCGTAATAATTTCTCTGAATGCGGGACGATTCTGTCTTTTTACAGGACGGTTGGCAACTCTACTAACTAACCTTATGAATAAAATAAAGTTCACTATCAGTAACACATAGCACCCACCCAGCTGTATAGAAACTCTGTCATGCTAGCTAGTACGCAGTACGAGTTATTGTAACTGACTGTAAAAAGTCAGCACAACGAAAATAAACTCCACCTAAACTTGGTTTATATCTGACCCAGATAGACTGCAGGTCAGAACTTCTTACCTGAAGTTCAGTTCACCTGACAGTCAGACCGACGGCTGCCTCAGGTCTCTGCTCCTCCTGCCTCCCCTCTCCCTGATCCACCTGCCAGCCAGCATCTGGCCAATCCACCACCTTTCGTTGTTTATACCGTTACAAAAAAAAAAGAAAGAAAATTATCGGGCCACCAAGCAAATGCCCGGTATGCCCGATGGCTAGTCCAGCTATGGTCGTGCCATCAATTAACCCTGCCTAGAGTTGCCGACCCCTGTCCTAGACTTATTTTAATATCTGTTATTTTAGAGCACTGTGAGGGCATTTGTGGCACTGCTCTGGAATAGTTCAGATCCTACACGTATCAGAAAACTTTATAGGTTGGGCTACATGATTTCAGATCTTCCTCTGCTCCTTTTCCTTCCATGGAGCTTGATACTTGCGCCTCTAGTATCTTATTTGTATCTGCTGCCCCTTGGTTTTATTTTTAGAAAGCACAAAATTGTTTTCCATTGTTATGGAGATGTTATACAGGTTTACGTACCCCTAACACAAAACCATGCCTACTCAATGAAAACTTTAGTTTTAGCCTTGAGGAGTTAAAAGTGTGGATGGCTCTAAACTTCCTAAATTTTAATGAAAATAAGACAGAAGTTGTTGTGTCAGGTCCAGAAAAGCCCGTCAGCGTCTCTTCTTCCTCAGAAGACTTAGAGACTTCCATCTGCCACTGAAGGCGCTCAAGAACTTTTACTCCTGTACCATCGAGAGCGTCCTGACGGCAAACATCTGGACCTGGTTTAGGAACAGCACCAAGCAGGACAGACGAGATCTGCAAAGGGTGGTGCGCTCGGCAGAACGCATCATTCAATCAGAGCTCCCTGACCTGCTGTCCATCTACACCAAGCGGTGCAAGACCAAAGCTAGGAAGATTATGAGGGACCTCTCCCATCCCAACAATGGACTCTTCTCACTGTTGAGGTCTGGGAAGCGCTTCCGCTCCCTTAAGGCCAAAACAGAGAGAATGAGGAGGAGCTTCTTCCCCCAGGCTATTCAGGGCCTGAACCAGGTGTAGGACTGGACTCTCCCAAACACGTCACTATAAGACTGGACTCACACACATCACCACATGCACCACCACACATTTCCTATAATTTATAATCCTTATAATCTCTTTCTGCTATTTGCACATTTTTTACTGTAAATTTCTAAGTTAATTTGTAAATTTTGTAGTAACCTGTAAATTGTAAATACTGTAAAACCTTTTTCTGTCATTTAATGGTCGGGCATTGTACAGCTACAAGCATTTCACCCCCATGTCATACTGTGTATGGTTGTGTGTGTGTGACAAATAAAATTTGAATTTGAATTTGGTGTCACTGGTGGGTCTTTTCATGTAGACACAGGCTGCTAGCACAGTATGTAAAGCTTACTGTTACAAACGGGTTTTAGGATGGACAGTGATTTTAGATTGAGCAGTCAGATCAGTGCAGGGTTAGCTTCTTTTAGCTGAGACAGCTGGCTAAAACAAAACAAAACAAAAAAACATGCTGTTAAAAGATCTCTTTGAAACACTCCCCTTCCCAATCACTGAGATCAGCTGACCAACTGCTCTTAGATGTGCGAAGGACATAGTGGTGGTTCAGAGACAATGCTGTTGCTGTAGTGGCTCCCAAATTGGGGAATTCATTGCTGTTTCACATTAGACAGGCCTCTCTAAGACCCACCTCTTCTGCTTGTCATTGGACGCAGTTTGAGATTTGTTGTTTTTATTTATTTATTTAATTAAATTATTTTTTGACTGTTTTTATTCATTTTAATTAGATCGTGCATTTGTCAATGCTCTTATTTTGTGTTGTAATTTTAATTCTAGTCATTATTTTATATGTACTTATTTTATTTATTTCAATTTTATTTTTTATTGCTATGTTCCACACAATGGTCACTGGTTGCTGTTTTTAAAGTGCTTTATAAATAAAGTTGACTTGGCTTGGCAGGTCAACCGCTGGCACCAGGTGATGTTAGCACATGAGAGCGGTTGCCCCCCTGAGCACACATGACAGATGTGAAAGGGTTTGAAGAGACCATGGAGAACATTATGCTTCCTGTGACATCATTCAGCTGACCGGTTTGGTGGTGGGTCAGTGATAGTCTGGGGAGGCATATTTATGGACAGACGCACAGACCTCTACAGGCCAGGCAGTGGCTTGCACCTGTCTTGGAGCTTTCTTCTCATTAGGAACATGCCCCAACATTGTGAGGCATGCATACAAGCACGTGAGGGGGCATACATCTTGCTGCATCATTTTTTCACTTTTATTTTCAGGATGTCTTTGAATTCCACATGGAGGCCACATGAAGTTTGTAGGGATCTACTCTGCAGAAAGTTGGCAGAGCTATGAGTCTATGTGTCTCAGCATCTGCTGATCCTGCTCTGTGATTTTACATGGCCTGTTACTTTGTTGCTGAATTGTTATTCCCAGTCCCTTTACTATGTTACAATACCACTAACATCTGATACTGAAATATTTAATAGTGAGGATATTTCAAGAGTGGACCTGTTGACAGGTGGCATTTTATCACTGTACCATTATGGATTTCACAGTTCCTGAGAGCAAGCCATTCTTTCACCTAAGTGCTTGATTTTATGTACCTGTGGCCATGGAAGCTGATTGGGACACCTGAATTAAATGATTTCGATGAATGAGTGAATACTTTTGGCAATACAGTGTATATAGTGTTTATGCTATTTGAATAATAAACTTCTGACACGCAAAATGAAATATTAAAATAATTACTGATGAATCATAATAAAAATTTAAAAAGGCCTGAAATATATGACACTTCATGTCTAATGAATAAAGATTATGAAAGGAACTGTAGGGTAGGGTAAGGAGGAGAAGGCAAAGGGAAAGGGATGGCCTACAAATTCTATCCAAGTTTTCAATTTGTAGGCTTTCTCAGGTGATTTGACATATTTTACTCCTAACCAATAGCTTTTCCTATATGTAAACAGTGAGTACAAAGTGCCAAATGCAGTAATTAAAAAAGGATTCAAACCAGGTTATCTTTGTTTACAAACCTATAACTTGTGTCATTAATGCCTCTTTAGGATAGAAATGCACACTTTATATGTGAAATGTAGTCTAAAAAACATTGCTGACTTGCGTCTGTTACACAGCGGTGGGGATAACTGGTTGGTACAAACCAGTCAAAATGTAATGGTATTGGAGTTCTGTGCAATGTTTTAATGTTTTTCTGAAATTAGATGATATATGTTAAAGAGACAGTACTGTCACAAATATAACAAATAAAGAAGGTCGCTCTTACAGTTTATGAGTGCTGCTGAGTTGAGAATCCAGCATCTCCAGTTCACTTTTAGCTAAGAAAGGAGGAACAATACATGAAGTCAATATGTGTGTAAATCATGAGACAGTGATTGGATTTGCTATCATGAATGTCCATTTATTCCAGTAGAAAATTATATGCTCTGTCCTCAAGTGTACTCATACTATAGACACTTTCAATTTCAATTCAATTCAGTTTTATTTATATAGCACCAAATCACAACAACGGTTGCCTCAAGATGCTTTATATTTTAAGTTAAAGACTCTACTTGGTGAAGTGGGATGGATAAACTCCCTTTTAACAGGAAGACACCTCCAGCTGAACCAGGCTCAGGTAGGGGCAGCCATCTGCCTCAACCAGTTGGGGTGATGGGAGCAAGACAGGATAAAAGACACACTGCGTAACAGAGCCAAAGATTGATAACAACAACTAATGATTAAGTGCAGAGTGGTGTGTAACCACACAGTGAATGAAAAACTAGTCAGTGCATTGTGGGATGCCCCCATCAGCCTAAGCCTAAGGGTCACCTTAGGCTTAGGCTGATGCTTTAATCTTAAAGGGTCGTTTAAAATTAAAGCATTAATTGATGGTAGGACTTCTTTCTCCAAAAACACAAGAAATCATACTTATAGCACAAGAAAATTACTGAAAACACATTAGAAAGGGTGATTTGAGGCATCTTATCCCACTCACTAGATACACTCACCATGCAGTTTGTTAGGTACATCTGTTCAGTTGCTCATTCGTGCAAACAAATCAGTGAATCACATGGTATATATAAACACAATCAAGATTACCTTTTTAAGTTAAAAAGTTAAAAAACAGGAAATTAAGGCAACAAATCACATGAACTCCCCAAAGTTGGACAATAGTTGATTGGAAAAATGCTGCCTGGTCTGATAAGTCAATTTTCATTTCAATTTTATTCATGTACAATAACAATCAGTTCCATCTATCAATCTTCTTCTGCTTATCTGGGGCCACTTTGCAGAAGCAGCATCCTAAGCAAAGAAGCCCAGACCTCCCTCTCCCCAGTCACCTCCTCTAAATTCTCCGGGGGAACACCAAGGCCTTCTCATGCCTGCCGAGAGATATAATCCCTTCAGCGTGTCCTGGGTCTGCCCCGGGGCCTCCTCCTGGTGGTACACGTCTGGAAAACCTCACCCAAGAGGTGCCCAGGAGGCATCCTTGTCAAATGCCCGAACCACCCTACCACCCTGCGGGCCAAAATTGGCCCGCAGCCTAATTACATTTGGCCCGCGAAGCCATACAAAATTACCATTAGAGCTGGCCTGCCAGTATTATACAGTGCATGTACTGCTAATACTACAATTCCCAGAATGCTCTGTTGGTGTTATGGCACGTCAGTCATGACAGGACCCATTAGCACCCTCTCCTCTGTTAACCATAGTCATAGCAACCATGCAAATACTGCCATGCTACCTATCCCAAAGTGGCAAAAAGAAAGGCAGAAAACAGGAGCTTTCTGGAGAGGTGGGAGAATATGATGAAAATTTGATAAATGATAAAATTTAATTCAGAAGGCTGCAACTACAAATTTAATTAAGAAATTAATTCCACTGATGTGTTATTTAATTGGAATTTTGATTTTGCATGTGTGCAATATTAAGTTATATATACGTTTATATAAGTTTTATATATTGTTTAGTATTAAGCTTTGCTTGTTCCATATTCAGTTTTTCAGCAAAACTTGTTTGAGTCCATAAGAAAAGATTCCTTGTTATATTTGGAGGAAGAGTTTTTTTCAATGAATATTAATGTTAGCCTGCGACTTTGATCCAGTTTTGAATTTTGGCCCACTGTGTATTTAAGTTTGACACCCCTGCTTTAAAGGAAGCCCATTTCTGCCGCTTGTATCCATGATTTCATTCTTTTGGTCACTACCCACAGCTCGTGACCGTAGGTGAGGGTAGGGGCATAAATCGACTGGTAAATCAATAGCTTCACTTTTACACTCAGCTCTCTCTTCACCATGATGGACCAGTACAGTGTCCACATCACTGCAGCACCAAATCCACCAATCAGTCTAAGAAATTTAAGCTCCTCCACTTGGGACAGGAACTTGTCCCTCACCCAGAGTGGGCGCTCCACCCTTTTCCAGCTGAGGACCATGACCTCAGATTTGGAGGGGTTGATTCTCATTCCAACTGCTTCACACTCAGCTACGAACGGTTCCAGTGCAAGCTGGAGGCCATTACCCAATGAAGCCAACAGAACCACATCATCTGCAAAAAGCAGAGAAGACATTCTGAGTGAAAGCCTTCCTCCACTTGGCTACACCTAGAAATTCTGTCCATGAAAATGACAAACAGAATCAGTGACAAAGGGCAGCCCTGCTGGAGTCCATCACCCACTGGAAACGAGTCAGAATTATTTCCAGCTATGCAGAGCAAGCTTCTGCAATGGTTGTATAATGATTGAACGCCTTGTAGCAATGGGCCAGACAACCCATACCTCCCACAGGAACCACCTCCCACAGCACACGGTCGAATGCCTTCTCCAAAGTACACAAAAAAACAAACTCCCATGCACCGTCAAGTATTCTCGAGAGGATAAAGAGCTGATCCAGTGTTGCATAACCAAGACGAAAACTGCATTGTACCTCTTGTATCCGAGGTTCAACCAACGGACAGACTCTTCTTCCTGGCACAGACTTTCCCAGGGAGGCTGAGGAGTGTGATGCCCCACTCCCTCTGGTCCACCTTCTTATAGATGGGCACCACCACCCCGGTCTGCCATCCCAGAGGTACCACCCCTGATTTCCATGCAGCATTGTAGAGGCATGCCAACCAAGACAGCCGCACAACATCCAGAGCCTTCAGGAACTCAGGGCAAACCTCATCCGCATCTGCCATCAAGGACTTGTTTAACTTCCTCAGTGACCTCAACGCCAGAGATAGACAAGGGAGGTTACCACAACAACAGGCACCAACCACCTTAGGCTTTGGCAATGGAGATGCTGAACATGGTCCATTTGGACCATGTTCTGAGGGAGACTGTCCCCAGTCTCCCTCCCACGGACGGAAGGCTGGGTACTCTAAACCGTTGTTTAGCGCATAAGCGCAGATGACAGTCAGGACCCCTTCCCCGACCCTCGCACAGGGAACAAACCCTCTCGTCCACTGGAAGAAACCCCAAAGTACAGGCAGCAAGCCGAGGGGATACTTGCTTTACGTGTGCTTATGCTTTATGTTGTACTGTAAAGACACTACAATACCATACTTTCAGACTGTACTACCATCCAATATAGCACCTGCTTGACAGGAATACAATATTTACACCACGGATGTGCAACCTGCAAATCTACAGCAACTGCATGGTGATATCATGTCAATAAGTGTATGTATGCATGTATGCATCTATGTATGTATGTGTGTATGTATGTATGGGGTTTACATAATTTACCTTGTTTGAGGAAATCATCCATCTTTTCTTTGAAAGGTTCCAAGTTCTCCTCATCTGAAATCTTACACACTTTTTCTACTTCTGATATGCATGCTGAGAAAATGAAAACAGTCAACCATTGAATGAACCATTTCAGCTTTATCAATATATTTCATGCACGCATGGAAGTATGAATCATGTTAAACAACTATAATGCCCCCAAATGGTTTTAGTTTGATTTTTAAATGGACTCAAAAACTTGCAAATCATCATTTTCACCTTTGAATGATGAGAGGTAGTCAGGTAATGGGTATTGGTCAGTTTCCAGGAAATGAATGCTTATACAGTAAATGTATGTCCTTTAATCTGATGGAAATGCAGCTACGTGTGTTACCTCTCAGATCCTTCCTGAGTCGTGCCAGATCTTTCTGAAAATCTTCAAATTTCAGCTGCGAAGCCTGAAACAGGTCATGAGGCTCAGGGAGAGGATACACACATGTCTCCCTGCCAGCATCCTGGAAATGGACAAACCAATTAGGGCACAATACAATTGTTCAAATGAATCATAGATGTCCTACTGTTGGAATAACCATCCCCAGCATGCTAGATGTTAGCAATGCAATTTCATATGTATATATAAAAAATAATGTATGTTTGTATGTATGTAATAATGTATAATATATGTGTGTTGTTGTGTTTATAATATATGATATATATATATATATATATATATATATATAATTAAATATATATATATAATATATATTAGGGGTGCAACGATACGTATCAATATTGAACCGTTCGATACAGTGCTTTCGGTTCGGTAGCATATGTATCGAACAATACAAAATTTTTAATTTATTTTATCAACTTTTCTTCTGACGATGCTGTCTGTGATTGAGCGCCAGTGGATCTGCGCTTCATGGGGACCTGATATGTTTAATATGCTGCTGAGAATATAGCCCAGAAGAAGCAGTATAGTATAGCTTTTATTTTGGAAAGAGCCATTTCTCTGTAATAAACTCTTTTCCAAAGATGAGTGATTTCTCGATCAGATAGATTTTTTTTTTATTATTTTGTTGTTTCAGCAACATTAAATTTAAAAACTGTACTTTTGAGTTAAAATATATATTTATAATTTTAATAAATGACAAATTAAAAAGGCATGAACATTTTTTTGTATCGAAAAAATATCGAACCGTGACACCAAAGTATCGAACCGAACCGAACCGTGAATTTTGTGTATCGTTGCACCCCTAATATATATATATATATATATATATATATACATATATATATATGATATATATATATATATATAATATATCATATATATATATATCCATATCTATCTGTCCCCACTGCTGTTCTGCATAGGCCTGAACCCCCTCAGTGAGATCATTAACAAGACTGGCTACGGATACCGACTACGGAACGGAGCAGTTGTCAGCCACCTCCTGTACATGGATGACATCAAGCTGTATGCCAAGAGTGAACGAGACATCGATTCACTGATCCACACTACCAGGCTATACAGCAATGACATTGGAATGTCGTTCGGACTGGAGAAGTGTAGTCGGATGGTAACAAAGAGAGGGAAGGTAGTCAGAACTGAGGGGATTGAACTACCAGAAGGCAACATTGCAGACATAGAGGACAGTTACAAGTACCTGGGGATCCCGCAGGCAAATGGGAACCATGAAGAGGCCGCTAGAAAGGCTGCAACCACCAAGTACCTGCAGAGGGTCAGGCAAGTCCTGAGGAGTCAGCTGAATGGTAAGAACAAGATCCGGGCCATCAACACGTACGCCCTGCCCGTGATCAGGTACCCTGCTGGGGTAATAGGCTGGCCAAAGGAGGAGATAGAAGCCACTGACATAAAGACAAGAAAGCTCCTTACCATGCATGGAGGGTTTCACCCCAAGTCCAGCACCCTGAGGCTGTACGCTAAGCGGAAGGAAGGGGGCCGGGGACTGGTGAGTGTCAGCACCACAGTCCAGGATGAGACAACGAACATCCAAGAATACATTGGGAAGATGGCCCCAACTGACCGAGTGCTCAGTGAATACCTCAGGCAGCAGAAACCCAAGAAAGAGGAGGGAGACGAGGAACCATCATGGAAGGACAGGCCCCTGCACGGTATGTACCACCGGCAGATAGAGGAGGTGGCTGATATCCAGAAATCCTACCAGTGGCTGGACAAAGCTGGACTGAAAGACAGCACAGAGGCACTAATCATGGCAGCACAAGAACAAGCTCTGAGTACAAGATCCATAGAGGCTGGGGTCTATCACACCAGGCAAGACCCCAGGTGCAGGCTGTGTAAAGATGCCCCAGAGACAATCCAGCACATAACAGCAGGGTGCAAGATGCTAGCAGGAAAGGCATACATGGAACGCCACAACCAAGTGGCCGGCATAGTGTACAGGAACATCTGTGCCGAGTATAACCTGGAAGTCCCGAGGTCAAAATGGGAGATGCCCCCAAGGGTGGTGGAGAATGACCGAGCTAAGATCCTGTGGGACTTCCAGATACAGACGGACAAAATGGTGGTGGCTAACCAACCGGACATAGTGGTGGTAGACAAACAGAAGAAGACGGCCGTAGTGATCGATGTAGCGGTTCCGAATGACAGCAATATCAGGAAGAAGGAACACGAGAAGCTGGAGAAATACCAAGGGCTCAGAGAAGAGCTCGAGAGGATGTGGAGGGTGAAGGTAACGGTGGTCCCCGTGGTAATCGGAGCACTAGGTGCGGTGACTCCCAAGCTAGGCGAGTGGCTCCAGCAGATCCCGGGAATAACATCGGAGATCTCTGTCCAGAAGAGCGCAGTCCTGGGAACAGCTAAGATACTGCGCAGGACCCTCAAGCTCCCAGGCCTCTGGTAGAGGACCCGAGCTTGAAGGATAAACCGCCCGCAGGGGCGTGCTGGGTGTTTTTTATATATATATATATATATATATTATATATATATATATATATAGTATAATAGAGAGAGAGAGAGAGAGAGAGAGAGAGAGAAAGAGAGAAAGAGAGAGAGAGAGAAATTCCCCTGCGGGCAATCTATCCTTCAAGCTTGCCAGGACGCCAGGTCAGGGGGGAGATATCATCACCCCCACCTGAGATTGGGTACCAAGCCCCAAGTGCAATAGAAGAAGGATCATTGAGTGCAAGAGGAACTGACCTGAGAGATAGGATCATGGTAAAGCTTGAAACCTGGATCCTCTGTAGCTGGCTACCAAGACTGCCACCATTCCCAGGACTAGCAAGCTGATCTACACCACAGTAGCAGTGATCAGTGAGATGCTTGGCTACAAACTTAACAGCCACAAAGAGAAGTACCCTCCATGGAGAAGGAGACTAGAGGCCAAGATTAAGGTAGCACGCAGGGAGGCTAGCCAACTATCAGAGCTGCAAAAAGGTGCAACAAAGAAGGTGCCTAAGAAGTACAGCAAGCTGTCCATACCTGAGGTCTTAGAAACTGCCAAACAAAGACTGACATCCGACATCCAGTCAGCCGAGACTGCAGGACCAGACTGACCAACCTGTGCACTACCTGGATTGATTACAAGAAGGCCTATGACTCAATGCCCCACACCTGGATCCTGGAACACCTAGACCTATACAAGATCAACAGGACCCTAAGAGCCTTCATCAGGAACTCAATGGGGATGTGGGGGACAACACTAGAGGCCAACTCCAAGCCCATAGCACAAGTCACCATCAAGTGAGGGATCTGCCAAGGAGATGCTCTGTCCTCACTGCAGTTCTGCATAGGGCTGAACCCCCTCAGTGAGATCATTGACAAGGCTGGCTACGGATATCGATGACAGAATGGAGCCTTTGTAAGCCTCTCCTGTACATGGATAACATCAAACTGTATGCCAAGAGTGAATGAGACATTGATTCCTTGATCCACACCACCAAGATATACAGCAATGACATCAGAATGTCGTTCGGACAAGAGAAGTGTGGTCGGATGATAAAAAAAGAGAGGGAAGGTAGTCAGAACTCAGGGGATCAAACTCCCCGACGGCAACATTGTAGACATAGAGGACAGCTAAAAGTACCTGGCGATCCCACAGGCAAATAGGAACCATGAAGAGGCTGCTAGGACAGCTGCAACCACCACCTGCAGAGGGTCAGGCAAGTCCTGAGGAGTCAGCTGAACAGTAAGAACAAGATCCGGGCTATCAGCACCTACACCCTGCCCGTGATCAGGTACCCTGCTGGGATAATAAGCTGGTCAAAGGAGGAGATAGAAGCCACTGACATCAAGATGAGGAAGCTCCTGACTATGCATGGAGGGTTTCACCCCAAGTCCAGCAGCCTGAGGCTGTACACTAAGCGGAAGGAAGGAGGCTGAGGATTGGTGAATGTCAGCACCACGGTCCAGGATGAGAAAAGGAACATTCAAGAATACATCAGGAAGATGGCCCCAACTGACCGAGTGCTCAGTGAATACCTCAGGCAGCAGAAACCCAAGAAAGAGGAGGAAGAGGAGGGACCATCAATGAAGGACAGCCCTCTGGACAGTATTTACTACCGGCAGAAAGAGGAAGTGGCTGACATCCAGAAATCCTACCAGTGGCTGGACAAAGCTGGACTGAAAGACAGCACAGAAACAAGCTCTGAGCACATAGAGGCTGGGGTCTATCACACCAGGCAAGACCCCAGGTGCAGACTGTGTAAAGATGCCCCTGAGACAATTCAGAACATAACTGCAGGGTGTAAGATGCTAGCTAGCAGGGCATACATGGAACGCCATAACGAAGTGGCCAGGAAAGTATACAGAAACATGTGTGCCGAATATGGCCTGGAAGTCCTGAGGTCAAAATGACCGAGCTAAGATTCTTTGGGACTTCCAGATACAGACGGACAAAACTGTAGGTGACTAACCAACCGGACATAGTGGTGGTAGACAAACAGAAGAAGTCGGCCGTAGTGATAGATGTAGCGGTTCCCAATGACAGCAACATCAGGAAGAAGGAACATGTGAAGCCTGAGAAATACCAAGGGCTCAGAGAAGAGCTAGAGATAATATGGAGGGTGAAGGCAACAGTGGTCCCAGTGGTAATTGGAGTACTAGGTGCGGTGACTCCCAAGCTAGGCAAGTTGCTCCAGCAGATCCCAGGGACAACATTGGAGATCTCTCTCCAGAAGAGCGCAGTCCTGGGAACAGCTAAGATACTGCGCAGGAACCTCAAGCTCCCAGGCATCTGGTGGAGGACCGAGCTTGAAGGATAGACCACCCGCAGGGGCGAGAGGGGAATTATTTTTTCTTATATGGTCAATTAAGTATGATTCTGAGATCATAGCTCCTAAAATTTTTGCATTAAACAATTACATGTATCAGAGAGTGAAATGACAAATAACACACCAGAAATGTAAATCACTGTCATCACTAGGGATGGGTACTGATATCCGGTGCCATTATGGCGGTAGTAACTAGACCGAAAAGCAACGCGCATCTCAGTGCTTTATTTCGGTGCTTTATTTCGGTGCTTTTTTTTTT